AGATCTAAGGAGCCAGAGAGCGTTCAGCTCCTTTTTGCCTACAAAAGAGCAGCCAGACAACCAGCAAGAGGCCTTGGATGTAGCACAAGGTGATACTTACTTAGTCAGCCATTCTTTTTTTCAAATATATTTTTTTTTTTCATTCAGTAAACTAAGAGTTTCTCAATTTCACAATGACACAAATTAAATTATCAGTGGATTGTTTTTCTACAACCAGTATTCTTCACACCAGAAATACTGTACCAAGTGAATTGTAGGTTTTCCAGAACAACATAGATTATATAAAAAAAGAAATAAAAATTAAAAGTTGCTGGCTAACATTTCTTTAAAAATAATTCCTAGGTTTAAGGAGTTGTCTTCCATTTTACAGTCACACAACCCCATCTTGTTGTGAATTTTGGGGGCTTTTCTTTTCTTAAAGGGGACAGCTTTGTTAAGATACTGTTTGTGATTCTTCCAGTTTTAGACTTTGGGCTACTTCTAGTTTTGTTCTGTCTTCTCATTTGTCCATCAGTGCCGTAGATCCTAATCCAGTAGCTGCTTCTTTATGACAAGTGATTTGATACTTTTTATAATACACAATCATGAAAAATATTTTCAAGCCACATATAGTTTATGGGTACTAAAGTAGCTGCTGCAGAGCCCAGGCAGAAGGCAGAAAATACCGAAGATGTTTATGTCTTTCTTTGGTGATCACTTCCTACAATCTGACAAGCCACAGAAATCCAAAGCCAATTCACTTTTGTTTATGTTGAGTGTCCCCTGCTTAGCAATTCATATTTTGCTGCTACCTGTGTATTTTGAGCTCGTCTGAAACGGTAGTAGAGACCAAACATAAATGTGGTCCCCAGGGTGATCAAAGATTTAATCTGACCAGATGGGACAAACCTGAGAAAGATTTTGACTTTCCACTCTGTTTTGCAACAAGAAAGGCTGATTTTTTTTCCCCCCGTCATTTCTTTGTTAGAAAAGGCAGAGATCAGGCCATCCCCAGAGAAATGAGCAGGTGTGGCCATTTACAAGCATGTCTGGTTATATTATAAACCAACATAAGAAAAGTTTGAAATGGTTTGAAAAGATCTGCTAAACAGTTTTAATGTTTCATCCCAAATCCTATTTACTCAAACAAGAGCCGATCAAGGTCACAGTAAAACCCAGCCTGCCCAAACCTTTAAAGCTCATGTAATTTTATTTTTTTATTTATTTTTTTTATTCTGTCTTCTCTACTAACTGAATAGGTACATTTTGGTAATCCTTGCCTCTGGACAAGCACAGAAGTCTTTTTCTTTCTGAATGGCTAATAACAGAGCCGTTCTTCCCGTCTAATGATGAAAGAGGTGGCAGTCAAGTTCTTTCTCTTAGATGTACTGTGCAGTCAGGGCAGACCACGGACAATTTTGAAACCTACAGCTACGGGAATCGCTCCCCCTCATAGGTACAATTCTAGTTTAATTTTGTTGCTGTGGAGTATCACTAATTTACCACTTTTTTTTTTTTTTTTTTTCTCCCAGTCTATGGACACAGTAAAGATTTCTTTTTAAACATCAAATAAATGCAGCTCACAGGATTATATTTTTTTATAGGAAGAGGATAATACATTATCAGACTTCTAGTGTAAACTCAGTTTGGATCCTCCCAAAATTGTGCCAAAGGATGACTGAAAATCCTTGGCAGAGGTGCGTTTTGTTTTTTTTTTTTTTTTTTAAATGTGAGAAGATTGCAGAATTTTTAGTGATTAAAGGAGATGAGTTTTATGGGGGTGGATGCTTGGGTTTTTTTCTTCCCCTGCAAGACCACCACTCTCAATATTTTACTGAGTTGATCAGCTCTCAGCTTCTGCCACCACAGAATGACATGGCTGGATGGGTAATGATCTCAAAAACTGCCCTGCCAGTGTTTCACATTCGAATTCACCTTCCCAAATCCACAGCATCATTTTTGGCCAAAGTAATGTCAGTCATTGCTTTCTGTGGCAAGTACAAAAAAGACCCCCTAATGGCAGCCATTTTTATTTGTTTCTTAAGATCCAAAGGCTGCTGAAAGAACAATTGGATAAAGTTGAGGATTGGAGAAGCTTGATTTTCTTGTTCCAGTGAAATGAAACTCCCGTCCTTTTTTTCTTCCCCTTCCCCTTAAAAGCTGGAGTCTGCTAGGGGGTTGTAGCTGTGTCAAAGCCGTTGGGATGCCACTGCTGATCACTTTAATTACTAGGACTAAGGAGGATAAAATTAAAAGTAGCACCATTGAAGCAGTGGAAGAAAGCTTGCCGAGATGTCGGTGAACTGTGAAATATAAAAATTGCATACCAATACATTTTTATAGGAGGGAAACAAGGAATTACATTACTTATTCTTGAAGAGTTTGTCCTTAAATGGTGAAGTTTTCCTCCCTGTGCATCCGCGTGGCAGATCTTTAGACCATTACAAAGTAGTTGGGGGAAAATAACAGAGCAAACTTTAATGTCTCTTTGGCATGTCACATTCATATCAGAAGGTGAAAGATTTTACTGAGTTTTCTCTTAAACTGTACAGGAAAAAAATTGCTGTATGTGTGTTTGCATGGTCCTTTCTTGGTGCAGAGCTTCTCTTTGTGTGTCCTTTTTTTTAAAAAAAAAAAATACGTTCATGCCTCCGTACCTCTCCAGAGTGCTTTCCTTTCCAAAATCTAGGGGATTTATTTTTTTGTTTAATAATTGTTCTGCACCTCAAAACTGAATCTACCTACTTTTTCTGCTCTCAGTTGCATTCCTCTTTCCACCAGTGTTTCCTCTGCCAAGCTCAGTAACCGAGGGCTCAAATACCTGAATTGAATTTAAGCAAGAACTAGGCTGGTTTTTCTCTTATCCGCTGGTGATGATTGGCTTAATCAGCACAAACACAAGCCACAATAAGCTGTGTTTGCTTGGAGATCCCCGGGATGTTAATGACTATGCTAATAATTCAGGATACAAGTTCTCTTTCAGGAGGAGGGGAGAAAAGGAGAGGGGGGAATCAGCCTGCTTAGTTCAGGGCACATGTCACAAACACGTAACTGGCCTTATTGTAAATTACATAGGGTATAGTAGATTAAATTGTTTGACGTTAAACCACATGGGAATTTATAACATAAATTTTGCACATTCCTTCATAAAGTCATATGAAACCCCCAAGTTCCTATATCCCAGGAATTACAAATAGCAGAGATTTGAACAGTTTTATTTCATGTTAAATTCAATGTAATTTATGTTACAGAATACTGCGGGTCAAAATAAAATCGGTTGCTGTATCAGTTGGCTGGCTATAAATTAAATTAAATTGATCTATTATAGTGCATAGGAGCAGGGGGGGGCAGCTTTCCAGTTGTCTTTCTAATGTGTACTTTACCAAATAAGTTTTTGATAGAACTGTTGCTTGTGCCTCCTGGGAAGTTAAAGGGTGAGAAAGCAAACAAAGCCAATGTGCCATACCGCTGCCTTGCATGGCCCAGGCAAAATTGTCTTTCCAGGGGAAGGACATTAGGAGAAAAGTAAATCAAGGCAATCTGATAGGGAATCAGGGTTCTGTCACTCAGAGACAAGATATTGTGCTGTGTCCATATACTTTGTTTACTGTAGGGTTTTATGAGTTGTAACCTGCCCATGCAAGCTGTTAATGAGGCTAAATCTTGCTGCTTGAGGATTGAATTACAGCACACCTCTGGGCTAATGGTTATAAACAGAAAGTCCCATTAGGGCTGCATTCTGATTCAGTCATTTGCATTTTTTCTATTGTGCAGAGAACAATGCTGAGTAAATAGCTACAAACAACAATTTACATGGAAATGGGTGAAATGTACCTAATTAGTATTTTGCACTTGTTTTATTAATGATTGCTTAAACTAAGTAGCACTTAGCAGCAGCTCTCACCAACACCTTCAGGTGTGGGATGCTCAGTTTCTGGGTTGGTGGGAAGACTGCCAGGACAGCTCTCCAAAATTAGGCAGTTTGTTGTATTCCACTTAGTTTAGGTCAGCTGCCTTATACCTGGCTTTTATCCTGGTCATTACGTCAATAATATGAATTTATCAGCAGATTTGACTTAAAGCCAAGTGTTGACTTTGTTGCGCGTATGACCACTTGTAATATTGAGGGGAGGGGAAAAACAGTCCTAACTTTGAAAAAAATCATGTTTTGAAGGTGAAAACTGGAAGATTCTCATATGGTTTAATGGATTCTTATAGATATGTTTAAACACATCATAATATTGTTTTAGTGTGGTGGGTTTAGTATTTTCCAAAATTTCATTCTGTAGAACTTTGCTGATTTATGTAGCCGAAAGATTATCATGCTTCTTGGATAGTTATGAGCTTTTAGTGGGACAGCACTATCTGGGATGATTCCAATATTATCTCTTTAATTACTGACCAAAGCCTCACTAGTAGGTGTTTTAAAGCGATGCAGAGTCTTTTCTGCTCTAGCATCTCTTGTTCTTTCACTAATTTTCATTAGTTCTTTGGGCTTTCTTTAAAAAAAGATATATCTATTGAATTTGAAGGATTAGTTTCCTTTCCATGTCTCAGATTCGATGTCACTTTACACTTTGAAATGAGCTTGGTGGTTGGACTAACCAAGAACAACATCTGGCTTCTCATTTCAGTTCCATGAGAGAATATTGCTCAAGTAATTCAGTTTAGTAAAACCATTTTTATAGCCACAGTAAAACTTTTTGTAGTTATTACTTTGAGACAAAAGTGTCAGAAAATTTTCATCATGGTATTTTTATAGAACATAATTTATAAATGCTTTAAATTGCAAATAATTAGGTTTATAATGCATTAATAATTTGGGGAATGCTTTAAAATATAAATCTGTTTCATGGATGTCTTTAAAAATTGTGGTGTGACACCCAACTGATATCGAGCATCCTATTTATAATGTGGGCCAAGCACCATGCTGTAAACCAGTTACTATCACAATGATCAGATTGAGAATGAAATTGCATTTCTGTCAATTACTGAGTTGGCAACTGTTCAATATATCTTAGCAGCAAGATGAAGAGCGGCGTCGGCAGCTGAGAGAGAGAGCTCGTCAGCTAATAGCAGAAGCTCGATCTGGAGTGAAGATGTCAGAACTTCCTAGCTACAGTGAAATGGCTGCAGAAAAGTTGAAAGAAAGGTCAAAGGCATCTGGAGGTGAGCTGAGGAACCTTGTATCTTATTCCTATGGCAACCTAGAAACCAGAGACCCTTTTGGGTATCATTTTTATTCACACTTCAGAACACTGCTGTTCATCAGGTGTACACATCAAAAGACATGGCCTTAGATATGTTTCCTAAATCAGTGTTGTGTCACTTAATTTACAACAATTAAAAGAACAGTATATATGTGATTGAAAGAAAAAGGTGTTTTGTGAACAAGTAGCTCATATTGACCCATTATTTACAGATTTGTCATTACCTGCGGTTTGTAGAATTTTATGATTGTTGGTTAAAATCTCTTCATTATATATTTTCATATAGAAGCATGGACATAATTGGGGGGAAGACAACATTAAAAATACTTAAAACATTTTGTATTAAATGTGTGCAAAAGACTGCCTGGGAAGAGAAGTTTAAAGGCAGCCCATGGGAGGTGGGGGCAACAACCTTTTGATTTTAAATGGCAGTCTTTTGACATACCACTTGCCTTTACAGGTTTTGAGTTGTAATATTGCTATAATGTTATTAAACTGACTTTGAAATGTCATTAAAATTCATATACCTGCCACTGCTATGAGCTGGAGTAATGTAGTGTCACTCAAACTCAAATGGGTGCTGAGCACATGTTTCAGTACAGGCTTCTTGCTCTTTAGTGCCTTCTACATATTCTAAGGGGAAATTGTGTTTCTCATACTAACACGTAATTGTAAGCCAAAGTGTCAGGAAAATCCAGCTTTACATTCACAATGCATGTAGATTCAACAACAGTATTTTTTTTTTCTCTACTGCATGTATTTTATATGCATATATATTTAAATGTAGTCTTACTGCACCCTAAAACCTTACAATTCTGTTCCATTTAACAGCAAAGAGAAAAGCAATTAGCTGTACATCTCCCTTTGGGTCTGGTCTTCATTTTTTCCCTCTTTGCCCACTAAACTAAGCTTGCCAATATAACTTACTTTCATGATAAGTACGGAAATTACATCCTTGATGGGGAGAGAGTAAGACAAGCTGAGCAAAACAGCACAGTACTTGTATATTAGGTAGACTATGGTGTTCTTCATCCCTCTTCAAAATTTATGACTCCCCATCCTACATCATTTAATGACTTCCTCCTCACTGTTTTATCGTGCCTGTATATAGCCGTTCCTGCCATCTCTCCCCTCCAAGTAAGTACACTTCCCAGGTGTATCCTGAAGGCTCGGCTGGATAGTAGTTCCTCTGTTTTGTCACAGTGACTCACTTGTAGTGTTGCTAAATATCCCAGTATGTTACTTTCTGGGATATGGGCTTCCCTGTTCATATTTTCTTCTGAATTTTGCCATTGCTCTTCCTGCCCTTCATCTGGTTTATAAACAGAGATAACTCTGCACTGTGAGTATATGTTTTTTTTTTAAAAAAAAAGTATTTATATGTATAGATTGCATATGCACTCAGAGAGTTTCAGTGTTATTAAAGGAGGAGACAGCACCAAGTACTGATGACAACTTGCTTATAAAGGTATCAGCACTATATGTGTTAGGTTTTATTCAGTATAACAATTTCACTTCTTTCTACTTTTGCATGTGCTTTGAGTTCTCTCCATGGTTTATATTTCATATCTTGATTTTTCTTGGTTCATACAGTAGTTCGGCCAAGCTATTTGAACTTCTCTCGGGCTTCCATTGTTCATCCCCTTTGCTCTTTTCATGTCAATGTGCATTTTATAGCATTGCCTTCTACTTATCCATTCTCAAAAAGCTTTCCTTATGGCATATCTTCCACATACTTGTACCACACTGCTGGTTATGTCAGGTGCCACACTAGATCTCCACTCAAGAAATTAATTCTTCTAAATGGAGCAGTTCTGTGAAATGGCACCAACACTTTATAAACCAAAGAAATTATAATTATTTCTGGGTTTAAACTTTTTACTTTTTTTGATTTCCACCAGAATTTAGGATTTAATAGACAGTCTCCTTATTACATCTGGATTCTGAATATTGCCTCTGACTGCATTCACATGTAGTAGGGTTTTTTTCTGTGTATAGTTCTGTATTTCCTATACATAAGACAAACTTATAGTAATATCTTGTCTTCCAAGCTCTCTTGTCCATTGTGCTTCATTAATTTCTTCTGCGCTGATTGCTACATTTTAATTTACAAAAAGGGAATATACCAAATCATCATCTTCTCCCTCAATTCAGCTATTCCAGAAAAAGACATTTCAGCTTTGGGATTTTGGAGTTTTTAAAGACAAACTTCTTGGTCACTATTGTAGGTGAAAATGTGATTTCTTTCGGTGTTTCTATATGCTCATGAAGAGTTTCATGCTTTGGCACTGGTGCTACATTCTCTGTTAAAAGGCTTTATTTAATCATGGTCTGAAAAACTCAAACGCCTATGGCAAGTTGAAACTTTCCTGGATAAGCAGCATCCTTTGCTACAAAATTCAGTCTTTTTCATAGGTTATTTGGCATGTGAGACAGAAAATACTCCTTGCTGCCAACTGCCAGAGGGTTTGGGATGGCAGCTTCAAATTTATTAGATGTCCTACTAGCTTCAGGCTGATAAGCAGATGCCTTGAGATGGGTCTGGGGACAGTATCGAGATAGGAATCCAAATATCCTTCATTTTACCAGCAGCAATGGGACAAAGGAATTGACATCTTATCTAGGTATCGTCCCCATGCAATGGGACACCTATCTACTCTTCTGGGATTTGGGTAGTGTGTTTTCTTTACTCTCTGGCACATCTCCATCTTTTATTTGAGATGACATTTTTGTGAGGATGCGGCTCAGATCTGGAGGTGGTGTGTAAGCAGTAGAGGTAGAGAACAATGAAGAGGATGGGGTTTAGACAAGCATAGTGTGAAGAGGCTTTGGTGAAAAAAGTGCCAAAAATAGGCAAAAGTGGGAGGGTTTAAGAGTATGAACACAAGAACAGCACAGAAGAGGTATTAGAGGAGCAGGGAGGGAAAAAACACGGGAGAAGCAGCATCTAAATGTACTGTAAGACAAAACAAGTTTTCAGAAATTTTGGAATGAATGACAAAAGCTGGAAGGGTGTACCACAGTTAAAAAACTTACTGAAGAGAGACAGCTGGCATTGCATTGCACTTGTATGCTTAAAGTTTTCAGGGTATATTACAGATTTTACTTCTGAGGCAATGATTTGGAGGGAGGGTACGTGGTAGCTCAGTCTTAGTCATCATGTTTAGACTCCAACTCACAAAACGGTGTTAAGTCCTCGATTTGATATTTTTAACAGGCGGTATTTGTATCTGTTGGCAGTTACTGCTGTACTTTCTTGTCCTGACATCTGATTTCTTGTACACTGAACCAGTATTTCGACTCTGCATTTCTTTCACTCCCCACCTTTGCTTCCTTTACAGCTGTTCAGATGCTCCTGTCACATCTTGTAGCCTTAAAGTGAACTCTGTACCTGAAAGTAAATAAACTAAATATCTGAATATCCACAATCTTGAAGGATTTCCCAGAGACAATCCTGGAGGCATCATCCCTAAAGAGCAAGTACTGTTCATGCAACTCCAGTGATAGCTTACATATGCTTCTCCCACTAATGTGACCCAACCCCCATCAGTGCTTTTACCTCTCTATGAAAATTGTTTCTTTTTAATTTTGTCTAGAAATTGATGCAGTCTACTGCAGCTCCTTCACATGTGGACAAGCTTAAACCAAGTCAAAAGAATATCAATTTAACCTCAAATTAAGCCTGATCTTAATCTGAATATTAATCCATATGAACTATACAATGCCTCTGGATCTTTTTTACACCAATATTCTGGCATTTCCACTTGGTTCCAAATTATTTAGATTTTCCTGTCTTCAGTCCAGACTGCTGTCCAGGCTGCATAGGTAATGGTCAGTGCTATTTAGTTGTTGACTTAATCCCTTCTATTTAAGTCTGTTCATTTCTTCACAACGTAGTAAAGCTTTGCTGTCTTTCTGGGATCCACATACTTTTCAAGGAAGCAGTTCTAGTACTCTTCTAAATATGTGCCCTGGTTCTAGACCAAGTGCTTTACATTTTTCACACTAGTAATTTGTTCTTTTCCTAAAAGATATCTGTTATCTCTTCATCATGTTGTTCTTTTTATCATTTATAATTGCAAAATCTTGTTGTAACATGCTCCCTAAACACACTTCCCTTTTTAGTACACTGGAAGAACTTTGGACTGGAAAACCAAACCAAACAAAAAAATAGAATAGTTTAAAACAACGAATCTGAAGGTTTTTAAAGATATTTGAAAATTTGTGAAATTACTTTAAACGAATGCTTCTAATTTTTTTTTTTTTAATGAAGTGTTAATATCCTGATAATCATATTCATTCAAAGCCTGCCATTATTCAATTAAATCTAGGTCAGGTCATTATTTGACACAAGGAACTGGTGTCTTCGACATTCCTGTCTCTTTGGTTTCCTAAAATGGCATGTCAAAGACAGTGCCTCTGATCTCATCTTGCTATATTAAATTAGAGAAAATGAAATGATCTAAGCATTCTCTTAGAATCCAGCAGTCTTCAACCCTGTCATCTTGTTTAGATTGTTTTGACACATCCAGCATCCTGCTGGATGGCTGGTAGTTGTGAGCTGACCTTGGGAGCTGACTTCGTTGGGTGCTTTGGAAAGTCATTGCCTGCCTCTAGGCTTGAGGTGGATTTCTCTCTGCCACAGAGGTGTCCTTCTTTCTCTTCCACCTCTTCCAAATGTCCATGGCCCCTTGCTGCTGTTAGCTCAGCCATAGTTTTAGTGTGCCACTGTGAGAGCTCCAGGATGCGTTTGAGATTACCATGGCCTGAGTGCCACTGAATTTCTCTGACACCATCATGAAGGATTTAAAATCATGTGAGAAGTCTCAGCTCCTCATTAGAAAAAGTAGAGATGCTTTGAAAAAATTCAAAACTTCAGAATTGTTACTGTTGCTGCTTTACCACTCTGTTCTCTCCTCAGTCTGCTTTTTACCCCATCCCTTTCTCCACTTCATGATGGATCACACTGTGCCATTCTACTTCGTTTACCTACCTCTGTGCTACCTGAAACAACTAAGAGTCCCAATCACAGAACCATCTGTGTGAATTTAAGTGGGAACAGAAAGGATGTCGCAGAAAGTCCTGAGTGTTTCTGCCCACCCAGTTGTACACCTGAAGCACTGTCTGTCAGGTCCCAGTTCTGGTCACAGATCCTGGTTTGGCTGCAGAGAGGTGTTCTCTATCCATCTGGCTCAAGCTGGAGCAGTTTGGAAGAAAGCTGACTCTTCCAGGAACCATTGAGAATTAGTGGAGAGGAGCCCAGAGAAGTCACGGTGGTCAGCTGAAACGGAGGGATCCTACTTCACAGACTCCTGCTCTATCATACACACAACAGATGTTGATTAAAACACTGAAATGGAAACTTCTTTGCTCCTGTCTGTCATAGCAAGAGACTTACCCTGAATTGTCAGAGGTCTGTGAAAGACATTGATTAATTGCACAGGAATTGAGGGAGCAGCTGCTTAGAGAAAAGTAGCAGACATATAAAAAAGTCATCAGGCTCCTAAAACGAGAGTTGTAGGGGCTGTGGAGATAAAGAGGTATGACATGTATGATCTTCATGTCAGCGTTGTGGGCCTGAAGTGCAAACTTCAGGTCTGGGGGTGAGGTTTAGGATTTTTCAAAGACAGATGATGAGTGATCAGCACCAATCCTGGTCTCAACTTCCCCAAGCTTCTGGTATTCAGGATTATGGCATCTCGATACTATGTTTAGGATCCTGTTTGTTTATGTACCAACATCCTGTAATTATAATTAGTGCCTTTTCTTATTGTGAAGTGTTTTCAAGTTCTTTTAGTTACTATTTGTGTCTTCTTTCTCTAGACACACTCCAGCCTTCTCTTTTTTGTCATTTTTACATGCATGCATACATACATATAAAAAAAATGTTCATATAAGTCTGAACAAGTGTAGATAGCATTTGATATGAGACTTACAAGTGAGTAACTACAATGCAGCTGCATGCTTTGAAATTACTAATCTAGGTTTTATGGACTTTATTTTCATTATATATCTGTATTGAAAATGTGAGTCAGGATTTTTTCTGGGATCTGCTTCACAATTCAGCACTTGCTATTTGATCTTCCTCAGGTTACTTACTCTTTCTGTGCCATAATTTACCTACATCATCATCATAATTGTAATTATAATAATTGCCTACTTCATAAAACATTATGGGGCTCATTTACAAGTGATATTCATAAGCTGCTCTGAGAAACTTGGTAGAAAGAGCCCATAAAAAATATGAAGTATAATTACAATTATTATTTTATTTAAAATGTATATAGCTTACAAACAATGCTGATTCAAAGTGGTGCAGTAAGGCAGCAATCCGTGAGTGTGTTCTTGCTGCACCTGAGGTCAGTGCTTTCTAATTGTGATGTTCCAAGTGGTACTTTTCCTCCCCGTAGCAGAAATGGTAGGAGACACTAGCACCTAAGCAAGGTTCAGTGATCACTTGTCTGTGATGTATTGTGCAAAGTAAGGAGTAGTGAATCTCATCAAGCTGGGAACTCAGTACTCAGAGCTGCTGCCTCTCTCAGGAGACCACAGCTCCCAGGTCTTTCTGCTGGCCAGACCCATCCACACCTGCTGTATACTGGCTTCAGCACCCATTCTGCATTACAGAGAACTGGGAGCCCGGGGAAAATTATTTTGACTCAAGTTATAAGGAGAAAAGCACATGCGATTTTCAGAGTTAGCCAGAGATTCAGCACAGAGAACAGCCACTGCTGGGGAGAGACTCTACCTTTATTGTAGCAGGAGTTTCCAGCAGAGCCCCCCGTGTGTATATTGAATTGCATCAGTTTAAAGATAAATCCATGAGTGGACAGAGTGAAATCTCCTTCCAGACTTATTTAATGATTTGTTTTTTTTTTTTTTTTTTTTTTTTTTTTTTTTTAAGTGATGCGGTGCATGTACATAAGAAAATACTAACCTTAATAATGTATGTTCCTACAGATGAGGATGAGGATGATGATGATAATATTGAGATAGATACTAACGAGGAGGTTCCTGAATGCTCTGTTACTGGAGGTGGAGATGAGCTTACTAACCTAGAAAATGACCTTGATTCAATGGGTAATTTAAATAATGGCTATTTTGTGTATTTTGCATGACTAACACTCCATCATCATATGAGTACTGATGTGCTGCTTCTCTCTGTCATGGCTTTATTCCTTTGTGCCTGTCAGGTCTTTTAAACCCTAATGCTTATTCTCTTTGAATATTTTGCATTCATGTATAGTTAAAATTTAAAATCAGCAACGAAATTATTTCCAACAATGGCAGATTTAAATGTCTCTTACTTTTGATGGGGAAGGGGACCCAAGGCCAGATTTGTAAAGAACCTGAAATCACCCTGCCTAGATTGTCCCAGCAAAGCAAGGTAGGCAGGCCAGAGGAGCAAGCAGTCACATTGGCAAGTAGAGCTGCCACGCTCTGCACTGACATCCTGGCCCATCTGCTCAGTGAAGAGGAGCAAACGTGTCTCTCCGTGTCCATGTGGACTTGGTATCCCTCCAGTTCCTTCCTGAAGACCAGCTCTCGAATTTATACCTTGTTGCTCCAGTGGGGGCATGGAGGTATAAACTGGAATTGAATTAGTCCTATTTATTTTACAGTGTTCAAATAATAGGGTTTTTTTAATAACACATTTTAAAGCATTTATGTTCTTGTAGACATGCTTGTATAATCATATCACATGCTGGTCAAGTAATAAGTCATCATAGTGGTATTTCCCCTTTCAAAAATAATCAAGCAAAACTGGAGTTCAGGTGATAAATACGATGATAAATATGTCAGGATCTTACAAGGGAGATGCTTATTTTAAAAGGAGCTAGATCTTCAAAGACGCAAAGGTAATTGCCCATCAGTAAGGGGCTCCTCGGCTTGTAGAGAGTTGCTGAAGGAGTTTGTTCTCTGTACAAGTCTGCCTGTTACCAGCAGCCTGCGGGAGAGCTGAGGGCCTCTTTGTAGTGTGGTTGTGCTTCTCTGCTGGGGCGTTTCTGCTCACTACAAGTTAGCTCAAGCCCGGAGAAGTGTGGCAAGCACAGGACAGTATCAGGATAAAGGCGGTACAAGAAACAACTTCTTACAGCATCCTCTGACTTGGTTCTGCCTATGCTAGCTGGACCCAAGTGTGTAGCCCATAATATATTAAATCAAAACACTTCATTTAGTGTTTGCTCTTTGTAAATTAAACTGACAGTGATGTGCATATAGCACTTCCTTTCTCATCTTTCTTGAATGAAAGACTCGAATCGTGTCCTTTTTTTTTTTTAGGATTTCTAAACACATAAGAAAATATATTTAGTGTTTCCAGCATTTGAATTAAGCTGATTTAGAGCAGAATCCTGTCAAATAATTTTCCAATAAATACTGGTTCATTTTAGGAGAACTAGAAAATCAGTAAATGAATATTCTTGTCACATAGCCCCAGTGACTTGCCAACACTTACTTCTGTGGGCCTTTTTTCTTGAGAGAGACCTTCTCAGGGATACAAACTCACCAGCCAACGCTTCATCTCCACCATGGGAAGACATTCTGGAAACAACCTGGGACATTATTTCACAGTTCATTCTGCAGAGTAGCCAGTGGTACAAGCGAGAAAGGAAGAGGATGGGCAATAGTACAGAAAGTAGTCTAATGCTGTGATAGAAATCAGTGTACACAGATTTTGGTGAGATTCTGCCAATTCATACCAAGTTCTAATGAAGGCTGAATCACCTGGGAGCACCTAAACATAAAACTGTAAGGGATATTTTACATTTGGGATCATTAGGATCATCTTTATTTGTCCCGTGCTGAATCTTAGTCCCTCCCATCTCTCTCAAGAAGAGACAACTTTTTTTTTTAATTTTTAATGCCAGTTGTTGGTTTTAAATGTTGCATCTGTCTGTATTTGTCAGTACTTCTACCTTACGCTGCTACAAATGTATCTGATAAAATGTGAACCTCTTATGTCATAGTTATTACATGATGTTTATGTATAAACCCAGAGAATGTGCATGTACTTACACGTGAGCCTCAATTAAGGGCACCCTGACTGGGTGTGCCGGAGGAAAGGGAAACTATCCTTCGTTGCAACCCAGCCCAGCCCTTTGCTGCTTGAGACAGACATCATTTGATTGCCAGCATGCCAAAAATATTTTGGCCAACATGAATCGGAGCACTCCAAACCTTGGAAGGAGCTCTGTGGCAAAACAGTCATGGCTCCACTTCGCACACCAGCTAGAACTTAACAAGCCTGCAGTGAGTAACTCAGGCTGTGCTTATAGAAAATATAGCAACTGCTATTTTCTCTGCATTTGACCCGAGGCTCAGATGTACGTGCATAATATATGCAGGTGATACTGCATTTGCTCCAATTCAGGAGCCACTTTTCGCATGGTGCTGCATGTAGAATATATGTCTGAGGGCTTCTGCACCAGCCTTATTCTGTTTTCCTACCCAGGATTAGCTCCACAGATCTGCTCCGTGGTTTGTTATTTACACCTTTCTCCTTATTACGTGTGTATGTGTAGGTTACTGTGTGTGTACGTGTGTTACAAATTCATATAGTTGATGGTCACATACAGGATGAGCATTACTGGGAGGTAAAATTCTCAACTATTATTTCTTTGGGCTCTGATCCAAGTTGCTAAAACTGATGAAAAAAAATATGGGGGCTTTGTCAGTTTTTGAATCTGTCCCTTCGATGAAGGTATGAAGCGTTTTACAGCTCTCCCAGCTTCAATACTTTCTATAAATCATAGTAAAATATTACTAGAAAGCTGTCTTTTGATTCTGAAATTTTAACATTGAGGAGCTGTGCCAAGGAGCCTTAGGATGAATTAGTAGTTCCTAAGCTTGAGGGGTTATTAGTACTTAGAATAGGTGATAAATTGTTATATGTCATCTTAAAATAGATGACTCTAAGTGTGGTTTTATACTAAAGTATAGGAATGTACAGGTTGGAAGTAACTTAAAGTAAACATTGTCTGCTTTCTGTGTTTTTCATCTACTGTCTTGAAGCACATTTACTTGTTCAGCTGAGTGCTACATGTATTTTTTTGAGAAAACTTGGGAATTTTCTGTGTCCATTACACAAGTCTATGCCAATCTGAATTGGAAAAAAAAAAAAAAATCCTTCCAGTTTTTATTCTTTTAGTTTGAAATGATAGCAAAGTGAATTAAATCTACCTTTTAAATTGCTACATTGTTGTAGCAACTCTGCATTTAAATGCATCTCACTCTGTTGTATGTGGTATTTGCATATTTAACAGAACAAAACAGTAAGTTGGTGGATTTGAAGCTGAAGAAGCTCCTAGAAGCTCAGCCACAGGTGGCAAATTCACTCTCCAGTGCTGCTCAGAAAGCTGTAACTGATAGCGCAGAGCAAGACATTAAGGTAAGTTTTGATTAATGCTTTTGTCTCAGTACCTGTGTGTTCTGATTTGGGGTTTGTACTTTGTGAGGAGGAAAATGATTTATCAAATCCTTCACAGTAAGAAATGCAGAAAATCTTCATGGCAGTGCAGTTACATAGTTTGTAATGCACTAGCTTTTTTCCTGTTGATTAATCAACACATTTTTCATTTTTTTTAATTTTATCTTGATACTTGTCATTGGCATAAAACTAACTGATATAAGAAGCATCTCAATTCTGACAGCTCAGGTTGTCACTTAAATCAGAAATGCAGCACAGGCTCCATCCTGCTGCTGGTGCAATCAGCAGCGAGACTCTCCCTGACTTTAATGGGAGCAGGATTGGACTCTCAGTGATTTGATTCCTTCCCAAGCCTGACCCGCTGTTTTTTTCTCCATTAAAATTAAGCCATGGTACACTTTAAAGACATATATACTTGTGTGCTTGATAAGTGCTTCTGAGAAAAATAGACACAAGTGTGTGGTGTATGCAGTCATTCTGTCTGTTCTTCATGTTCACCACTTCAGCATAAAGTACACACCAATCAATTTTCCATTTCATTTTCTTAATTAGACACCTTGTGTTCTTACTGTTGGTTTGGGGTTTTTTTTTAATAGTCTCTGCATGTCATTAATATCCCTATGGCTCTGGGGCACTTCCAGTTGGGTATAACTTTTCACCCACCTGCAGTCTGGGGGGAAAGCGCTGCTGACTGAAAGGATTTCCTTCCCCAGATACAGAGATGCTTTGAAGTCCCAAAACAATGACTTTCATTGCTTTTTCCCTTACACTGTCGGTTCCTATAAATTGGTGATGAAAGTGTGTGGCAGCAGCAGAGGACTTTCGGTCTCTATCTTTGAACAAAAGGAAGCCTGGATCAAGTCTGATTTTTGCGTTCAATTTAGCTTTCTGCAGTGGATTTAATGCAAAATGAAGCTGGCCCAAGAATAATACAATGGATTGAAAAGGCTAACTGAATTAGTGGGCTTAGAGGAATACATTTGTAAAGTGGCAGAAGTCCCCAGTCATAAAAAGGTTTCTTAAAATGGGATTTACTGGCTAATCACACTGATATTTTAGCATGTTGCCAGGCCTAAAAAATTAGTCATGTTTGTTTATTTTGGTAAAGACTCTGGTTTAGTCTGTCAGATGGTTATTGTGCTAATAACAGGAAACCACCTTTTATTTAACCAGAATTATAACCACCCGATTAGTGCAGCTGAGAAGTCATCCAGGGGCTATGAGCAATACTTTTTTAAGCTTAATGCGACAAATGACACACAGGGCACCTCTTAGGGCAATTTGGTATCACCTAACTTGACAAAAATGGTATTTCTCTTTATAAAAAGCTTCTTTGAAGGAGTTGATTTTTTTTAAGGTACTCCCACAAAAGGTGCAGTTTAACAGTTTATCTCTGTGTGCATCTTTCGAAGGAAGAGTTGGAAAGCGGCATTATAAGGAATATATGGTGTCCATCTGTTCTCGTGGAGCTCTTGGCATTGAGGTGGATTTGTTTTTTAATAAAATGCAGTTTACACGTTTCTAAATGAGGCATTCTGTGTTTGTGGAAAAGGATAAACTGTTACCTTCCCTTGGGGATTGTGTATCCCCGGCCTCCTTGAGGCTAGAGAATAGGCCATTGGAGAACTCCCTCATTACTGATTGTCTCAATGCAGAGGAAGGGCAAAGTCTTGGTAGCTTTTGATAACCAGTTTCAGCATTCAGCAGGCTTAGCTATTAGTCATGCATCTTAGCCTTTCCCTATTTACTTTCAAAACACTTAATAAAAATAATAAAAGATTAGGTATAAAATGAAATATTTGTTTGGTACACAGCACCTCGGTATCTGCACTTTCCACACACTGCGGTGGTTCAGTCTTCTGGGATATTTCGTGTTGATAGAATCATTTGAATTTGTTACCAGTATTAACATAGGAAGCCCTGGAAAAGATAATTGTAGTTTCCTTAGCTGTAAAGGGCTTACTTACAAATCTGGCTTTGGAAAGTTATAGCTGATGAAATGCAGTTCAGTGGGGTAGTATTATAATCCTACCTTTTAGCCTTCATCCAGCATTAGTGGTTTATCTCAATGGGCATAAAATTAGAAACTAGTTCTTCTTGTCATACAAGTCTGTGGGACTACAGAAAATGACAGATTTCTTTACCGGGCAGGGAGACAGGCTAAAGGCAACATGCTTTTAAAACGATACAGATCGTGTTCAGTGGTAGAGACGCCGCTACTTGGCAGCAGCATGCGCAGTGCTTGGCAAATCAAAGTTGCAAAGGAGTGATTTTTTGTTTAAAATAGGCATCGCTGGCAAATGCCGGTCACAATTAATAGGTCTGGCTGTTAAGTAAGTAGAGTCTCCTGCAGGAGGGTGCCCACGTAGCAAAAAGCCAGTCGTTGCCACCACACATTAAACAAAACAAAACAAAAAAAAAAAGGGAAAAGTTAATCACTCTTATCCTTTTTTTTTTTTCCACAGCTGATACTTTCGTCTTATATAAACCGCAGCCTGAGTTGTGAAATCCTCTTTGCAAAAGCTGTGTCCTGTCCCCTCACCGAAACGTACCTTTCGAATTCGTGTCTTCCCGTTTGTAAACAAAAGAAACTGTTGTGTGTCTGGTTTTTTTCCTAGCAGAATGGAACAGAGGAACATCGTGCTGAGCGATTACAAAAAGCAGCAGAACGGTTTAGAAATCCCGTTGTGTTCAGCAAGGACTCTACCATCAGAAAAACTCAGCTCCAGTCTTTCAGTCAATACGTGGAGAGCAGACCAGGTAGGAGAAAATATAAAACCTGTTTTCCCATCTTATGATTTAATAATTTTTAACAATAAATATATGAAAACCTGATAATGTAAGTCCACATTTCAATACATAAATATCAAGCTTTATAATAATTTTACATGTCTTTCCCCTTTTTTCAAGAGATGAAAAGGCAGAGATCAATACAGGAAGATACAAAGAGAGGAAATGAGGAGAAGGCTGCGATAACTGAGACTCAGAGGAAGCCATCAGAAGATGAAGTGCTTAATGTATATTAATTTTTTGTCTGGTTTCATGATTGCTGATAATTCCAAACTGTATGTGGAAATAGTGCCTTTATTTGTTAAAATGAGATGTTAGGTTTTTTTAGATGTCAATCTCCAGTGCATTCAAAGCAGAGTGAGAGGGGTGCACTGTTGAATTAGTCTGCAGTGTGGTGATAATTGTCAGATAAAAAAAATGAATTTTTCAGAGTTCCACAGCCCCAGCTTCCTTGAGACATTTCCATCAGGGCACTTCCCATAAAAAGATTCCAGTATTGATCTACCGGGAGGATTTTAATTATTACAATAGCAGATACCGCAGAGCTGCAGTTAGAGGGAAGAGTCACATGAGACCTGCTAGAATTTCTCAGCCAACCCATTTTGTTGGCTTGGGTTAATGGGTGTTCAACCTTTCCATTATCCAGATCAGCCGTGAATTACTAGCTGAATGATGTTTGCATTAATATAATATATATGGTAATTTCTTCACTTAATTAACGGGGAGGTTCAGCTCAGTAGGGGTATGGGCTGATCATGTGTAAAATTGATTTGTGAGGGAAATATTTGATAGACCGCAGGGAGAAAGCTGGTTTTGATGGACAGCTGCGGGACAGAAGCAGGAAGAACAAGTTTTAACCTGAATTTTTTTTTGTCTGAAAGCACAACATGGCCTTTGATGGTGGTTGTTTGTTGCTTTCCACAGTTTATCTAAACACATTTGTCGTTTTTGCTGGAGCAATCTAGAGCTGACTAGCGATTGTGTACTCCTGTCATATCTATGCCAAAACATCAAACTTTTTACAAGCCAGAGTTATTTTTAGACCAGTTGTACTTTTGCAGAGCTGAAAAGGTCTGGCACAGTAAGTTCACATTATATATGCAGATGATACACATGAACTCTTGGGATATTTCAGCCTGACACAGCATTTCTTTTCATCTTCTAATAACAATTGTTAACAATTATGCGTGCTGACATTAGGGAAGTTTTCATACTATTTTCAATTAATTATAGTTGATGAAAGGCAATATATTGCACATCACCTCAACTCCCCAGACTGATTTTTTTTTTTTTCTTCAGGGACTGCTCTCAGGGAGTTTTATTGTTTATCTGGCTATATGACAGGTAGAAAAGGGATTTCCGTTAGAGCCAATACTGTTGGCTGTTCTGTTGGAAGAAAAGGACCAAATTAATGGGAGTGTAACATGCTTAAATTCAGATACCCTAAATTTCAAAGTTCTGTGCTCGTTACTGGTCCTGGGAGCTCAGCCATGGCATTAGCTTTCACTTTGAATATGTGTTTATTTGAAATAATATGCTGATGGGATTTGTTATACCTGTTGCCTGAATATGAAGCTGAATTGATTATTCCAGACACATTTACAGAAGAATTAAAAACATTTGGTGAAAGTGTCTGAGACTTACACAGCAACAAGTTAACCCCTAGTACTCATTAAAAAAGACTATATTTTTCTGTTCCCAGCGGTCAGTGATTTTAGTTGTATCCTTTACAGAGTGCAGATAAAACATGAAATTATTTTGGCAGGTTTTTTTTCCCCCCAATTTAAAACGTTTTCCAAGGCTTTGGGGCAGGTGCAGGAGGAAGGAGTGGATGGGGTTACTTGGAAGGAGTAATATTTTTTTCCTAACTTAAGCAAAAACAGGCTTCAGAACTGAGATTTCAGCATTGTGTACAGCCCCTAATAACACAGTACAGCCAAAACACTGTGGGAAAGTTGTTGAATCAGATGAGAATGACTTGGAGGGACTAAATGACTGTTCTCAGGCTCCTAGCAAGACAGTCAAACTGCTTTGGAAATATTTGGAGATTTGTGTGGTCATCTGAGGACCAATGCTGAGAAGTTATAGGGTACAAGACACCAACTTGACTCGTTAGTGTTTCCACAGCTTTCTCAGTGTAAGGTTCAATACAATTTGTCAACTTGGCATCCCAGGGCTACCTCCTGGCTGGGTGTGAGACAGCACAGAGGCAAGACACCTTGAGTTAGTCCCCATGCACCTGAGCGTCTGCCCAGTGCTGTTTGTCATCACTTCTCAGGATAAGAATCACGGTTGGAGTAATTAGCAGTAATTCTACAGATCTCGCTGTAGCAGGGCAATTGCCTGCAGTCAGAGAAACCCAGAGAGGAATGATAGTCCAGGCTGGTGAGCCTTGGCATTACAGTTGAGCCAGAGGAGCTAAACAAGCCAGGGAACTTGTTTCAGGTTTGGTTTTAATCTCCAAAGCCCACTTTTTAATTGTCATTAGAGGCTCTCATGCTAGTTCTTCTAGCCCCTAAAGTTAGTGTTTTAAAATTGAATAAAACCTGAATGGAGTAGAAATAGCCTGTTAAATAGTGCTTTATTTGGATTACGTTTCCTTTCATTATGCTTTGTTACAGCAGCTTTTATGTACTTAGAAATAAATTAGAGGAATTTCAAAAAGCCAGCCAGGTAGTAAAAACCTGCAGAATCAAATGTTCCCTAAAGAAAAAACTGGGTGTTTTAATAAACAAATAAGGACATTTGGCAAAATCGTAAAGTTTATGAAATGTGTTAGCTTTTTGGTAGTGAGCATGATATTTGGTTGTTTAGGTAAGTGCCTTACTAAGTGTTTGTGGAAAGGAAAAATGCAACTTACAAGTGATGTTTTTTATTCTTATTTGTTCTCTTTAACAGAAAGGGTTCAAAGACACCAGTCAGTATGTTGTAGGAGAATTGGCAGCACTAGAGAATGAGCAAAAGCAAATTGACACCCGTGCCGCGCTGGTGGAGAAGCGCCTTCGCTATCTCATGGACACAGGTACGGTGCCCAATTACACTGTAAACAGTTTTGGCAAATTGAGCGTTCACAAACTCTTATAGAGTTTTGGAAGTGTGAATCTTTGAAGCCTGAATGTTCAGCAAAACTGCCTTGAAAATAAAAAGGCTGCGATTTGCAGCCACCTCTCTGGGCCCTGGTGATAAGAGTGCCTTCATGGGAAGTGATAACTTGCCCTGATACCGTGTGAGCCAGCACTATTGAACAGTGTGCTCATCCATGCAGAGTTGGAATACACATCTGTGCCTCATTGATATGCCACTGCTTAGGGGGGGGGGGGGGAAGAAAAAAAAGTAAGATCTTCACTGTTCTACTGATTCAGTGGGAAAAAAAGATTTGGCCAGCTAAAGCCATGTACTGCATGAAACAGAGCACAGTACATGGGGGAAGGCTCCATTGACTAGATCACTGAAATTTGAGAATACTATCTGGTTACTGATGCTCTGCAATTATTTATTTATTTATTTTCAGGAGAGGGGGTTTTAAAAGTCTGTAATACTTGGTGTTGTAGGTGCAGTCGAAAGGATTAGAGTATGTGGGGGATTTTTTGTTAAAGCCTGATGGTTTTGACTTCCACGATGAATGTTAGATGGATATTAAGTGCTGATGGTCATTAGAGATGGAGAGGTTTAGCTGTCTCAGTTGGAAACAAAGAGTGCTTTGATATTTCAAAAATAAATTATATCATAGGTCCAAAAAATGTTCTTCCTGTCCCTTGGGGAAAAGTTAGTTGTTCCAAATTACTTTGTGATAAATTGTCTTTATAAGTTATATGTATATTTGATGCTATAAACTTGAAGCCCGTCTTTAACTGAAATAACAGATTGTAAAGTAGATTTGAATCCAGTGTTACGTTTTGAAATACGGATGAATAAAAGTTCAGTACTTTGAAGTGATCTTGCAACACACCTGCAAATATTAGATTTTTTTTTTAAGATGTATTTACTTTTTCATGTGCTCAGGTGTTTTGACTTTTTTAAATAGTTTTACAAAACATGTAACTCATAAACTATTTGTGTCCTGGATTAATACTTTTTTTAGCAGGACTTTTACCTGTTATGGTCTTCTGAAGTACTTTTTCAAATGTGACCTTTAGTTATTAGTTAGAGAAAATGCGTGTATATTATCTTGCACTTTTTTGTATACTTTGTTATATTTGTGAAACATATGTTCCACACAAAAGAGCCAGTAAAATGTTTCACAAGTCTTATATGAACTCCAGATAATGCCCCTAGATATATTTGGAGTCATCAGCGTACCACTTGGGGATCTTTAAAGCTCTAATAACCATGTTGTTATTTTTGTAATTTATTCCATTTTAAAAGAGATTCCTTAGATTTTTAATGTTTTTTAATTTATTGTATTTTGAAGTGTGACAAAAGTTGCTGTATTCTTCATGTCATACACATGATGAGATGATGTTTCTTTCAGGTATCCTGCATAAAATGGGGAGTCTAGCACACAGATAGAGTGGCTTATACAGCACAGCTGTTAAGGGTTGTAATAGGAATACTAATGAATACCCATCACTTCTTTTACTGGGGATAAGGGGAAAGGTGATGCAGCCATAAGGAAAAAGTTACTTTTATGTTTTTGATCATTTCCTGAGCATTCAGGATTTAAATTTATACAAATGATTTGACAAGTCCTTGATAAAGATCCTATTTATGTTCTCAGCTTAAAAACACAATTTAGGAGAAAACGTGAAAAGTGGAGCTTCTTACCTATAGTCAACTTCATAGAGTTGAAAGCAAGGATTCTCAAACTTCTCTAAATATGGTTCACATCTAAACAGAGAGCCTATCTTGTGTACCAACTCTTCTGCCAATCAATATCCCATTTGTCATTAGACAACATCCCCATGGCAGTGACTGCAATTGCTTACATGGAAAAGTAGTAGTAGTAGGAGTAGTGTTTGTTGGCTTTTTGGTTTTGTTTTTTTAACAGTCCTTTAGTGTGATATGGTAGTGGGAAAAAAACAAACATCTCTTTTTGCTATGCCTTTAAAATGCTGTTGTGTCAGCTCTGTTTCTGTGCCCCGTGTGCATTCCCCTTCCACCAGCTCCTACTCTGCCTACTTTCCTGCGGCCCCTTGTCCTGCTTTCTCCTCCTCTCTCCCCTCTGGTACCTACTGCAGTTTCTTCAGAAGATCTGTGGTATCTCATCTCATTAGTGCCTCTCTTTATCAGGATGGCACTTGGTTTTCTTCCCTACCTCTCTTCAGGAAATAATTCCTAATACAGACAAATAAGCAGCCTGTGCCTCCATCTTAGTCCCAGCTTCTTCTGTAAGGGTCTGGTCTGCTTCACCCGAGTGTCTGATTGAGAGAGAAATCTGGAAACAAAAAAGATGAGTCAACACCATAGGACCTGCCAGCTTGCCACAGACCACCAAGTGGTCTGTAAAGCCATGTTTGAAGGAAGAAAGTAACTGCAGCCTGATAGCTAGAAAAGCCCTGAAGGGCTGTTGATTATGATCTCGGGGTTTTGCAAATGCTCCCCTAGGTGTTAGTGCATACCAAAAGGATGAGAAACATGAAATACTGCCAGCTCTTAGAGGTGCACTGAAGAGTGTTTTGATATTTGGGTTTTCTGAAGATGAAGGCTTTAGGAACCAGGAGGTTGCATGGGCAAGCGTAGCTTTAAGATCCTGAAAATACAACATGAAGGACAAGAGCCAGAAATGAATTGGTTTTATAATTAAAATTCTCTTTTAAGCACATCTCTCTCATTAATTTTGTACTGCTTGGGGTTGTAATACTGGAGAGCCTCAGACGTAAGAGTCTAAGTAAGAGTTTCTGTTGACCTTATTCCTCAACGGCTGAAGCAAGGTGCCATGTTTGTACAATTGTATGGGAAAGGGCTTACACTGAATTGTCCTAAGGAATGTTTGCAGGATGATTGTCTCCAGCTTTGTTTCCATGTGTGCCAAAACGATACCAGATAAATTAAACAACTGGGAGACTCACACAGTGATTCAGTCATTGCCTTGAACTTAAATTCAAGAAGGTAGAACATGGTCTGCTCATCCCTGCTGTGTCTGCTGGGGACTGGACCATCTTTTCCTTCTTCGCTGTGCTTGATCCTAGTCTTTTACTAGAAAGCTTCCTCTCTTCCTTCTCATCCTCCTCCAGCACAAAACTGGGGGTGTTTTTTTTTCCAGTGGGGAGACTCTTTACCACCTGGCAGCTCTTCATCCTCTGAGTTTGAGAGTAATTTTTGTAGCTCATCCAGGAGGGAATGTTTCAGGCAGCAGCCTGAATATCTATTTTGGCTACATTCATTTCACAGGAAAAGATTTCGTCTCTGGCTCCAATGTATCAAGGCATTAAAACAGGTGGGAATTACCTTACTGTGGTATAGTGGTAAGACCAAAAAGGTATAGTGACTAACCCCTGGACAATGCAGACATTGGTAAATGTGGAAGAATTCAGAGCTGTTTCTGTTTTGGTGAAAGTTGTAGGTATAGACAATGTACGTTCTTGGTTAGGTTCCAGCTCATGGCACCGTTTGACTTTGTTAAGACACTCTGCTTACTTTTTTAGTGTAAGTTTCTGGCACTTAAAATTGCAAATAAAGTTTGAAAATGCCACCCTAGTTTTACTAGGGCAACAGTGGCTGTGGTAGCTGCAAGGAGTGGCTCTTGGAGATTCTTGTGCCCCACTCCCTTTCTGCCGTGGAGCAGGAGGAGAGGAGTCCCTGACATGATACTCTCTAGTCTGGTCCCTAGGATGCAACCTGGGTTGCAGAGGGATCCTTTCCACTGCTGCCCTTGCATCTTCTGCCCTGCATTAGGAAAAGGGCGTCTAATGGAAATGGGGCCATAGGAAGAGAACCCAGGTCCTTGTCTGCACGTGCATTGCCATTTTCTGGCCCTGCAAGACAGTCTTTTTGGCTGTGGAAGTTTCTGGCTCTAGGCCAAAGGGGAGCTGATATTTTCCAAGTTCGTCAGCCAGGCAGAGTTTGGAACTGGCTGAAGCTTTGCATTTCCAGTGCCAGCTGCTCATGATGTGACTACAAACACTTTTCTAAGATGTGTGAAAAAATAAAAGTTATTAAAATTCCCAGGTTGCTGATTTCCATTTGAATCTGAATAGCTACACTTTTATTAATATTCAGTAATTTATGTCACTAGTGGCATAACCGCAGTCCTTGGTCTTTGCACTTAAAATGAAAATGTAATCTCACCTTGTTCCAGTGAAATGTAGTTCACTGGTACATTGCAAAACTCTGAGGGGAATCAGCACTTCAGTGCCTTGAACTCCGTAGAATAAGCTGATGGCACATTTGCTATCACTGCCTGGATATATGTAAGAGTTACGTATATAGAAGGGGTTTTGCAACATACACGATACGAAATAAACCATCACAAAAAATTCAGTGGGTCCAAGTGTTTAGAGAAAACATGGTGCAGAGGTTCAAGTAAGAGGAATAAGTTGTATGATTGAGTATAAAAATCATATAATCTAATATCATTGATTTCCCTTCTTCCTCTATAATAATGGCTTGACATTAAACGATGACAGAGGTAGGATTATCTTCCTTCTTCAAGATTGTGCTTTCCCATGTTATGCCTAACCTGTTATGGATAAAATAGTTTTGTCTCTACTTCTGACAGTGGCTTTCTCCACTGCAAATTCTTCTGTCACTGTATTTTAAGGTGTCTATCATTTTGATATCCAAGTGCCAATTAAAATGCAGAATTATCACATAATACAGTTAAATTAAAAACCAAAGGAGCCTAGTTTAGAAATTTCTAAATTTAGCTCTTTTTTGGTCACTATTTCTTCACTACTATTTGGGAAAAAAAATTGCAGCTATCAGATATCTTGTTATCTGAGTGCAGGGTATGAAGTGGTTTTATTTTTTTTTTCTGATTAGCTGCAAGCTCACAAATTCAAGTAGAAACATTTTTATTTTCCATATGAGATCCTGTACCTTACCAATGGATGAGCATGTTTGTGGCACTGTATAAGGATTAAT